GGAGGTCTCTAGGACCATCAACGGAGAGGAGCCGAGAGCGAGAGCGGAACCCTACCCAGAGAAGCAGTGATGCCTGAGATGGAGGCAGAGACAAAGACGTGGAGGGATGAAGTGGCTGGGGACTTTGGATCCAGAGAGGGAGAGGGACTGTGTGCTGAAGACTGGCGGTGGGGGATGGGGGGAGGTAGTATAGGGGGCAGGTTTGAAGGATATATCCTTTGGGTGGTTGATGATGCATGGAGGGGATTGGAACCAGGGCAATGAAATGATATGTGATAGAATGAATGTAAAACTAAAGTTCTCTCATGTAAACTATCTTATAATTCACAATAAAACATTTTTAAAAAATTAAAAAATAAAAATAAATTGTTAAGCTATGGCTTCAAAATTCAACTTTAGTATCCATAGCATGATAATTAATGATAAAGTAATAATAGCCAAATTTTAATTTAAAATAGCCAAATTTTAAATTAAAAAAAAAAAGTGTGTCTGGTCCAAGCCATGGTATTTTCAATACTAGTATAGTGGTTATGAGTTGGGATGCTAACTTCAAGGCCAGCAGTTTGAAACTACCAGGTATTCCACAGGAGAAAGATGAAGCTTCCTGCTCCCATAAAAATTGACAGCTTTGGAAACCCAATGCAGGATTACTATGAGTTGGAACCAACTCCACAGCACACCACCACCACCACCACCAATATGCATGTGGAAGTTAGACAATGAATAAGGAAGACCGTAAAAGAATGGATGCATTTGAGTTAAAATGTTAGAAAAGAATATTAAAAGTACCATGGATTGCCAGAAGCATGAACAAATCTCTGTTGGAGGAAGTACAGGAAAATGGTGAGACTTTGTTTCTCATACTTTGGACATATTGTCAGGAGGGACTAGTCCCCGAAGAAGACCATCATGCTTAGTTAAGTGGAGAATCAGTGAAAAGAAGAAGATCCTCAACAAGATGGATTGGCCCAGTGGCAGCAACAATGGGCTCAAGGTTTTAAGAATGTAAGAATTATAAGGATGGTGCAGGACTGGGCAGTGTTTCGTTCTGTGTTGCATAGGGTCTCTATGAGTCAGAACCAACTTGACAGTGTCTAACAACAGTAACATATCCATATGTTGCTGTACTAATATACTATATACAATAAAGTCCCCAGGTTACCAACGTTTGACTTACTGACAATTTGTATTTGTCCTTTAATGTTTTGTAAATTTGCCCTTACTTTGAAATTACTGAACCAATTCCTGCTCACAACAAATACTTCATCATAATCACCTTCACTCTCTGCAAAACAGTTCATTACAGAAAACAGTTAAAAACACAGAAAGCAAAATAATTTGCAGTCCTTCAACTAGTCAGAAAATTGTTTATTTCATTTTAGTAATTTCGTCTGCATGGATATATACATGGATCATACAAATTTTGATTCTCCCTTTTTTCTTTACTTGTGGTGATATGGTGATCAGACATGGTTCTGTCACCAGATGTAAGAGGCTTAAGTACCGTGGAGTCAGTTCCGACTCATAGCGACCCTGCACAGGGTTTCCGAGTCTGTAAATCTTTCCGGGAGCAGAATGCCTCATCTTTCTCCCATGGAACTGCTGGTAGTTTCGAACTGCTGACCTAGTGATTCCTAGTGGTAGAGAAATAGGAAGTGTGAAGGCAAGCAGATCTGCAGGCTATTGTTGTTGTTAAGTGCTGTCAAGTCTATTCCGACTCATGTTGTTGTTGTTGTCAGGTGCCATCGAGTCGGAACCGACTCATAGCCACCCCATGCACAGTGAATGAAACAATGTCCAATCCTGGGCCAACCTCACCACTGCTGCCACACTTGACGCCATCAATGATGCCACCCGGCTGATCCATCTCGTTGGGGGTCTTCCTCTTTTTCTCTGACCCTCCATCTTACCCAGCATCTTACTTCCGACTCATAGTGACCCTGAATAGGGTTTCTGAGGAGCTGCTGGTGGGTTTGAACTGCCTGCCTGCCTTGTGGCTCACAGTCCAGTGTTGATCTACAGTGCCATACCATGTGCCATGTCCAATAAGCACATAAAAGAATCTGCTGTGAGATCTGTGTGATGTTGGACAAGTTATTTGTCCTCTCTGGACTTCAGATCCCAATATGTAAAACAAAGAAATCAGATTCAATCAGTGTTTCACAAAGTATTGGATATATTTCATAGAAGGACTAGATGATGATTTTAGGTGGTATACAATTCACAATTTGTTTTTTATATACTTGTTGTAGGGAAGCAACATGATTAGTAAATCCATAATTTGACAGATTTTATTGTTAGGACAAAGCTAAAGTAACTACTTATGGAAAAGAAAACAAAGAGATTTAAAGGAAATCATTAGTAAAAAACAAATGATATGTGTATATGGCCAAAAGAGGAACAGTTTTGTCAGAAAAGTGGAGAATAACTGGGAGTTCCTTCCAGTTCAAAGATGACAGTCTCTGACTCCTGGATTTCTGAGTACAACCAAAACAGAAAATGACTATGGTGTGGCGCTGTAGGATAAGCACTGGACTGTTAACCACCAGCCATTCCTTGGAAACGTATACAGGGTTACTATGAGTCGGAACCCACTCTATGGCACTTAACAACAACATTCAGAGAAGTAATGAAGGAGTCTTACTATTGCATAATGCCTGGCACATGGTGAGTGTCAGCTAATGTTTGTTGAATTGGAATTCGGAAAAGGTTTACATAGACTCGAGGATGGCAGATGTTTGAGCACTTGGCATCTATGCTGCCCAGTCAGCACTTCGCTGCACTCATATATAATGCTAACAGATGGAATTCTGTCATATTCATTAATTGTTGAACTCATGGTTTTCTAGACTGCTAATGTAAGCAGAAAAAATATCCATCATCTAGCCCAAATCCTTCCTGTTTTAGATGTGGACTCTGAGGTCCAGAAAAGGAGAAGTGACATCCCCCAAAACCCAGTTGGGGCAGACAAATGTCCTGTGAATGCCATGGGCTAGATCACCTAAAAAGTTAACCCCTATAAAGCACACGGAATGCCACACAAGATGTACTAAACAGCCCTGGTGTTGTGAGGAGCCATGGTGGTATAGTATGTTATGCACTGGGCTGCTAACCACTAGGTCAGCTCTTCAAATCCACGAGTCACTCCCCAGGAGACAGATGAGGCTTTCTGCTCCCATAAAGATTTATAGCCTCTGAAACCATACACTATGAGTTGGAACTGACTCTGGCACACAACATCTTAAAGCACAGGGAATGCTATATAGAATGTAATGAACAGCCGAATTCAGAAGAAACCAAGGGAACTCCCAAGGTCCAACCATGAAGGTCCTAACAACCAAAGCACAATGTGTGATCTGATGGTATTATTGCTCAGGGAGCAGGGTTTAACGGGCATCATGAACTGATGCTTTAAAGTCTGCAGGGACAGATGAGAATCTTGGACAGAAATCCCTGCATGAAGCTGGGTCTCTAGAAGAGCTACTTTTTTTTAGTGAAAAAGCAGAGTAGAAATCAATATGACCATAAGCCTCAGAAAGTGACATGGCATCTTGCCCATCTTAACTATTTCTGGACTCTGGGTCCAAAAAAATAAACTATTTCTTAAGAATTTATACTTACATGTTTGGCCTTCATAGGTTGTGGTGAGCTCCTCAGCCTTTTTAAACCCGTTTCCATCTCTATAAAATGTGGTGCAGATTACAGATTAGGTGAGTGAAGTATAAATTGCTTCACACATTGCTAAATCAAGTTAGAAATTATAATTTATTATGCAAGAAATTAGGAGTTAATGGAACTCTTTAACTAGAAACCATCCAGGGGTATGCTGGTAAATGTTCTCCAGGAGGTAGAAGGTAACTCTGATTTGTAGCACTTGCTGATTTCTGTGGTGTAAATATTCCCACCATGGCCTGGTCAGGGGACCAGGGTCACTATGACTCAGAACCGAATTGACAGTACTTAACAACAACAATAACCTGATGCCATTGAACACAGAGCTGAGAAGATATGCATACAGTCAGCTCTTGTAACTTGGCAAGAATTGGCTTCAGCACACCACCAAGACTAACAGGACTACTCTGTGATCTATTCTGACCTCTGAATGTTTTCCTAAATTGTTCTCTGTGGATCAAAGTTGCGTTTGTCCTGGTCAATACAGCCTAGCCAGAAGAATGTTCTGAATTGTTCGGGATTTCTTAAACTTGCCTCCTTAGATAAGAGAGTCAAACACCTCTTCCCTTACTGCGGTCTCAGAAGGAAATAAGCTGGTGTGTGCTGAGTCCATTCCACTGGATCTCCAGCTACCCTATCCTCACAGGCTATTAGAGAAGGGAGTGAAGTAGAGTTAGAGTACCATGACAAATCCTCACCTTGCTTACTTCCCAGCAGCGTGTTTGAGCCCATTGGTGTGGCTGTCGAATGTCGGTCCATCATTCCAAGGCTCTTTTATGCCTTTGTTAGCCCTGTACTTCACCAGAGATAATGTCTTCCTCTAGCAATGAATTCTTGATGTGTCCAAAGCAAGCAAATTGGATCGTGTTCTGTTGTGATCACCAGGTCTTTCTTCCTAGTCTGTCTTAATCTGGAAACTCCATGGAAACTTGTTTACCATGGGTGACCCTGCAGGTATTTGAAATACCAATGACATAGCTTCTCTCATCGTTGCAACAGAAAAGCTTACCAGAGTATGGCAACAACCCTGTTGTTGCTGCTGCTGAGTGCCATTGAGTTGGTTTCAACACATAGAGATCCTGTATAGGGTTTCTGAGGAGCAGCTGGTGGGTTTGAACCACTGACTTTGCAGTTAGCAGTCCAGTGTTAACCCTATAATGTCATATCAGGACTCCAGTGGAAGTCCTATGGATATTATAATGGAAGTCTGTGTACAATATCTGAGATAGCCTTAAGGAGGAAAAGGCCCTCTAAATCCTAGATAAGATTCTCAGAAATTGAATATATAAGCTAGCTCATAAAGCATAGTTGGGATTTGCCTGGTCAGGATTCCCAAACACTGGACCCAGACAGGTGCCGGCTGACTGCAGGTGCCCTAAGTGACCATGTCTATGTTGGTCATACTGTCTTCCCAGCTTGAGGTGCATGGCAGGTGCCAGTAACTCTTAGTTGAGGAAGAGAATGCATGAACCACTGGGACATTAATACGATTACATTTAAGGACCTCACACCTCAATTTGGACTCAGTAAGCCTGGGAGGAATCCTGACATCTCTGTAGTTCACCAGGATCCAGGTGATTTATAATGTGTATCACCTGGGACTCTTGGTAAAATGCAGATTCTGACTGGGTAAGTCTGAGTTTCTTCCATTGTTACCAAGCTCCTGGGTATACCAAGCCCACTATTCATTCACATTTGGGGGAGTAAAGCTCTAGAGTGGTTTTGCCCAACAGAAATATAATTATAAGCCATGTAAGTAATTTTTAAATAACTGCTTTACAATTAATGTATTTAAAGTATGCAATTCAAATGGTTTTTAGTATGTTCACAGAGTTGTGCAACCATTACCATGATCAATTTTAGAACATTTTTATCACCCCCCAAAGAAATCCTATACCTTTTAGGCAACCACTTTTTCTGTCCAGCCCTAGATAACAACCAATCTACTTTCTGCCTTTATAGCTTTTCCTGTTCTGGACATATAAATGGAAAAATACAATATGTGATCAGTTAGGTCTGGCTTTTTAGCATAACATACTCAGGGTTCATGCAGGTTATAGCATACATCAATACTCATTTCTTTTTATTGCCAAATAAGATTCCATTGTACTATATACCACATTTTACTTATCCATTCATCAGTTGATGGATATCTGAAATGTTTCCATTTGGGGCATATTAATGCTGCTATGAACATTCTTTAAAAAGTTTTTGTGTGGACATTTGTTGTTGTTGTTGTCAGGTGCCATCGAGTTGGAACCGACTCATAGCAACCCCATGCACAGCAGAATGAAACAATGTCTGATCCTGGGCCAACCTCACTACTGCTGCCACACTTGAGTCCATCAATGATGCCACCTGGCTGATCCATCTCATTGGAGGTCTTCCTCTTCTTCTGTGACCCTCCACCCTACCCAGCATGACATCCTTCTCCAACGATTGTTTCCTCTGGACAATATGTCCAAAGTAGGAGAGACGAAGCCTAGCCATCCTGGCCTTCAAGGAGCACTCTGGCTGCACTTCTTCCAAAACAGATCTATTGGTTCTTTTGGCAGTCCATGGCACTTTCAGTATTCTCCTCCAACACCACAACTCAAAGGCATCAATTCTTCTACGATCTTCCCTATTCACCGTCCAGCTTTCGCATCCATATGTGTGGACATATATATTTTAAATGTTTTATTGTGAATTATGTGATAGTTTACATGGGAGAACATTAGTTTTATATTCATCCTATCGTTTATCATTTAATTGCCATGGTTACAATCCCCTCCATGCATCATCAACCAACTACAGGGTACACCCTGCAAGCCTGCCCCCAGTCATCAGCGCCTCTCCTTCTCTGGGTCTAGTGTCCCCAGTCGCTCCATCTCTCCATGTCATTGTCTCTGCCTCCATCTCTGGCATCACTGCTTCTCTGGGTAGGGTCCAGCACTCCACTCTTCTCCCTTGATGGTCCCAGGGACTTCCGCTTCTAGACTGCAAAGTTCATCACTCCCCTCCTTGCTACAAAATGTCTACCTTTACATTTCCAACCCTCACAATCAGTCCTGATAACAATTATTCACTATTGTATCACAAGAGACCTATCCACATTTCCTTTCATCAGCCCCACCCAGACAGATTGGATACTACTCAGTGGAGATTCTACCTTCCTCTATGCCCTCTGGATCTAGGTTCCCTCTTGAAAGCTTGTAAGCCAGTCACTTCTTGCCTTTGAAGCCCCCCACTTTGGGTAGCCAATGTCCAAGTTGCCCATCCCTGTCTACTCTGTGTGTGGAGGGGGTGGGAATGATCCTTGCTGTAAAGATTTGTTCCCTCTTTTGAGCTACTGCATCCATAGTGGACATATGTTTTTAATACTTTAGGGTATATATGTAAGAGTGAGATTGATGGGTAATATGTTAATTCCGTGGTTAAACCTTTTAAAGAACTGCCAGACTGTTTTCTACAGGGGCTGTATGCCATGTTACATTCCTATCAGCAATCCATGTGAGTTCCAATTTCTTTACGTCCTCAATAACACTACTGTAAAATTATAATCATAGTGGACATGAAGTGATAACTCATTGTGGTTTTAATTTGCATTCCATAATGGTTAATGATCACATATAGAATTTAAAATTTTCAGCAGCCACATTCTAAGAAGTAAAAGAAACAGGTGAAATTAATTTTAATACTGCATTTAATCTGTCCAAAATATTATCATCTCAATATATAATCAATATAAATTATTAATGAGTTGGCTGACATTCTTTTTTTGTTCTAAGTTTTTGAGACCAGAGTGTGTTTTACACTCACCACAGTGAACTGAAACTGGCTACATTTCAGATGGTCAGTAGCTGCATGTGACTTGTAGCCACCACATGTGACAGTGCACATCAGGCAGAGAGGGGAGTCTGGGAAAAGGCACAGAGATGGTACAGAGCATAGTGTCTTTAGGGGTTAAAGAGTGACGAGAGGCCAGGTCAGATGGGTGGAGGACTAAGAGGAACTGATGTGGAAACCTCAGCATCTCTGTCTGCCCTTTAGTGATGAAGAGCTATGCCAGAATTTCCTGCAAGAGAACAGCTGGACTATCTTTCGGAAAGACCTGGTTCGGCTGCTGGTGGAGCCTCGACTTTGTCCACCATTGGCCCCAAAACAGCCCAAGAAGGGACAGCGCAGCAATCTTAAGTCTGTGACCCTGAATTTGTCTGCCCTTGAAAAGAATAAACCTAACCACGCTGTTTTTATGGCACCCCAGAATTACCTCCCCCCATTGAGGATAGTCCAACGAATAACACCACCCTGATCCAAAATCCAAGAACTCTTGCCTCAGTATAAGAATGCAGGGGTCCTTGTTTACAAACAATAAAGAACATTGCACTTGCCACCATTGTCTTGGAATGACTACCATGGGAGTTGTGGAGTTGGAGTTGGGGTTCTGGAGGACTGAATATGGCTCCAGAGAGGTGTTTGGAAACAGCAATGGGGCCCACTGCCTCTCTTGACACTTGTGGGGCCTGAGAGAATGGATGGGTGGTCAGAAGGCTGGGTATAGACTCCCGGGTGGTCTCAGGTCTCAAGGGAGGAGGCTCACCAATGACATTGAGCATCTTTTCATGTGTTAGTCATTTGTATATCTTCTTTGAGGCAATGTCTATCCTAGTCCTATTGAAGTTGTTGAGTTGTAATATGTTTATATGTTCAGGATACAAACATTATTTCACATATGATTTGCAAATATTTTCTCCTATTCTGTAAGTGATTTTTTCACTTTCTTGACAGTGCTTGAATAGCTCTTGTTGTTGTTGTTGTTAAGTACCGTTGAGTCGGTTCTGATTTACAGTGACCCTGCAACAGGGTTTCCGAGGATGCAAATCTTTACGGGCGCAGAAAGCCTCATCGTTCTCCTGTGGAGAAGCTGATAGATTCGAACTGCCGACCTTGAGGTTAGCAGCCTGATTTGTAACCACGACACTAACAGAGCTCCTTTGAATAGCTCTTAATTATGGTTTAATGTAGGAGTGTTTCTTTGAATTCAATAACGAAGCAAAGACTAGACAACTTGAATATCCAGCACATAGTAACCACTGTTACCTGTTAGATGCTATTAACACTTTTTTGAACAAGTTCAGTTTGACCATTCAGAGATTATCTTTCCCTTTCAATGGAATAGGAAACTGAGATTTGGACGTCTGAGGCCTTGCAATCAGTGATAAAGGCCATCTCTGAGAGATTTACAGTGGGAGAGGCCTGGCTGATACCTCCCTGAAACACTCAGGCTTCACCAAGTGAACGTGGTTCATTAAACACTGATGGGCAACCTTGGAGGGAGGGAGCAAGGGTCCGCATGAACACTGGGTAGGGGTGCTGTTTGAAAGAAAAATAGAAGGGACAGTGTGAGGAGGGTTTATGGTTGTTGTAAGCGTGTGAGAGCCTTCTAGCTCAGCTTCTAGCTTCAGGAAGAATAGTGTTTCTGGAGGTTACTGCCCTCTTCTCGCCCTGCCCCACCTCCACAACATGGAGTAGGCTTCAGAATTAGACAAAGAGATTATTCAAAAGAAGCATATATGACACCCCTTGGCACAAGCATTATTGTTAAGTGTCATTGAGTCAGTTCCGACTCAGCGATCCTGTATAGGGTGTCCGAGGAGCTGCTGGTGACCTTGAAGTGACCTTGAAGTGACCTTGCAGTGTCAACCTTGCGCACAAGTGTCAGCAATTATGTTTTCCATGACCTCATGCCCACCTGGTCACAGACCTGTGGGTCCAGGAAGCCCCAATGAGTTGCTAAGTGCAAAGAACAAAGGAGAAGGATCTGGATTGGGGAATGAGGTCCAGGTGTGTGTCAGGCATGTTACTGAGGCTATAATCTTGAAAATACAGTTGAACTGCGTGGGCTCAGTTAAACCTGGATGTTTTTTTCATTTTGCTGTTGCTAGACGGAATGGACTTGATGGCAATGAGTTTGGTTTGTTCAAGTGCTGGGAGTTCAAGTGCTGGGATTTCAAGTTCAAGTGCTGGGAGTATCCACTTAAAATGCTGTGTGACGCTAATCATCCACGTGAGCAGTTCTTGAAAGAGGAACTGCTTAAGTGCAGTTTAAGCGGATACATTTCACCTCCCGTGCAGTTCAAACCCATGTTGTTCAAAGGGCCACTGTATTTCCTGGCAACTAGGGGGCGTTGTTCCCATTTGACAGGTGAGGAGCATGAGGCACAGAATGGCAAAGGCCTTGCCTAAACTCACTGGACCAGCAGGTGGTGGTTCCAGGAATTCCATGTGCTTTCATTGCGTCCTGGCACCCGCCTTCCTAGTTAATCAGCATTGCAGTACAAACTGTTACTCATCTATCCCAAATGAGCCACCTGTTTTCAAAAAAGAAAAATTCTCCACACAAAATAGAGAGAATATCATCACCCTCTGGAATGATTTTCCATATGTAAATAAGCACAGTCATACTTAAAGGCACATCCAGGCCACTGGAGCCAAAAATATAGCTGCTGGCAATAATGTCTTCCACTGTTTGGGGAAAATGACAAAAGCCATTTGAAAAATAAACACAAGAGATGTTGCCAGAATTTGTTCTAGAAAGTGTTTAGGGTCCCATTTTGGGGTTAGAAGAAAAACATTTTTTAAAATCCTCTATTCCTTTTATGGGATGATTGGAAAAATCTTACCTTCCAGGTGGGTAAAGTCTAAGAGGATAAAATGGGTCACTTTGCAACTCTGACAGGGCTATGTCATAGGGCAGCACTTTAATACGGCAGATCTAGGGGTCATTTTGCTATTTGGAGACATAAAGGCCTAACTACAAGTGGGCTGAATTGCAAAATTTGTATTCACTAGTTCAGAGCAAACAGTGAAGTCTAGAGGAAGTTTCTGAGTAGTTATTTCCCGTAGGAAATGTAAGCAGTAGTACTGAAATTGGAACACTGGAACGGAGGTTTTTCATGACTGCCACAAAGCTTTCAGCTCCAGCCCTAGGGGAAGACATTTACGAGAGTTGGGGGCAGAGTGGGAAGGTATATACTTTGTGACTTCCAGCCAGGCTGCTTCCCTTTCTGGAGCATCACTACTGTCATCTGTAAAATTTGAGGACTCAGACAGGGGTTCCTCAGGACTTATCCCACCTTCAAGGATGTTCAGGTACCTGACCTTCTTTTTAATTTGGCCCATCTATTTTCCTACATCTAAAGCTTCCGACTCGATGGCACTTAACAACAACAACAACAAAGCTTCCCTAAGGAGCTCTGGTAGCGTAGCAGTTACGAATCGGGCTACTAACCTTAGGGTCAGCAATTCTCAACTACCAACTGTTCTGCAGGAGAAAGATGAGGTTTTCTGCTCCTGTAAAGATTTACAACCTTGGAAACCCTGTACAGGGTCGCTATGAGTTGGAATCGACTCCACGGCACACCACCACCACCACCACCACCACCACCACCAAAGCTTCCCTGGTGTGGCACTATAGAGTCAGCACTGGACTGAGAACCACAAGGTCTGCAGTTCAAACCCACCAGTTGCTCCTCGCAATCTCTGAGTCACTATGAGTCAGCACTTAACAACAACAAAGGCTCCCTATTCCTCACATAAAATCAGGATCAAGAAGAAAATGAATTCTTGAGACCTTTGGTGAAATTCGGAAACGAACTCTGTGAGATAATGGTATTGCTTTGATCTTAACTGTGCTGATGTTGATCATTGTACTTTGGTTATGTAAGACAATCTCCTTGCTCTTAGGAAATGTACTGTTCAGTTCTTGGCAGTGAAGGAAGATGATATCTTCAATTTACTTTCAAATGACTTAGAAAAAATATAATCTGTAGATTTAGAAAGAGAATGGCAATGGCAGTATAATAAAATGATAAACTGCAACACTGCATGAATCCAGATGGAGAATATTTAGGAGTTCTTTGAATAGTTTGCCATTTCAAGTGTGAAATTATTTCAAAAGAAAAATTAAAAATTACAACAACAACAAAAAGAGAAAAAAATAGGAGAAAATACTGTGGAGCTCTAGAGTCCTGGTATGCACTGTAGGATAAGTACTGGACTGCTAGCCACAAGGTTGGTGGTTCATTCCCAGTAGCTGCTCATCAGAAATCCTACACAAAGTTACTATGATTAGCACTGACTGACTCGATGGCACTTAATAATAGCAACAATAATATGGAGCTCTAGTGGTACAGTGGGTTAAATGTTGGGCTGCTTACTAAAAGATTAGTGGTTTGAACCCGCCAGCCACTCAGTGGGAGAAAGATGAGTTAGTCTGCTTTCATAGGAGCACTGGTGGTATAGTGGGTTATTCATTGGACTGATAGCCAAAAGGTTGGTGGTTTAGACTCATCGGCAGCTTCTGTAAAGATTTACAGCATTAGAAATCCCATAGAGCAGTTCTACTCTGTCCTATGGGGTCACTATGAGTTAGAGTCAACTCTATGGCAGCGAAGTTTGATGGGTAATACAGATCTGGGTATTCTATCAATAGGTGATATAATTGATTTTAGAATTTGATGATAAGCAAGAGAGATATCCAAGGTGGGAAGGGAAACATGGTATTTCACTAGCAATTAGAAAATTAAGACCAAGAAGAAAATGGAGGAAATCAACATGCATAAGCATTGTTGTTAAGTGCCATTGAGTTGGTTCCAACTCGTAGCGACCTTGTATAGAGTTTCTGAGGAGAGGCTGGTAAGCTTGAACTGCCGACCTTGCAGCTAAAGCACTCCAGTACATTAACCCACAGTGCCACACCAGACTCTGCATAAGCATTATCACAGTTATAAAACCTGACTTTGAGATCCCTAATGGCCAAGGCAAAAAGAAAAAGATGGTATTTCATTATTGCAGAGGAGAAATCTGTTTCTATTCAGTTTCTCAGGAAAGTAACAGTCGTTCTCACCTTAGGGTGCTAGGTAAGTGTCTTCACATCCTTTTTTCATATTTAGTTTCTACTTAATTTACTGTCCTTCACTTCTTTGAAGGAATCTTAAATGAGATGTCTGCCTATCCTTACTCTCCAGACCCCTCAGCTTCATGTCCCTTCTGACACCACGTTAGTGTCTAGAGTGACTGTTCTGCCCTTGCTTCCTTGTTGAAGGTTTATCACATGAAAGAGGGTGGTGGACTCATGGCCTTTAAACCCTAACAACACTGATCATCTAGGATTTTAATGGTTAGAAACTCAATCTGTATCTTGCCCTGAGAGCAGATTTTTATCTTGAAATAGATACTGTCGCAAAATCTATCTTCCTGTCATAACTGTAAAACTTGTGATTTGTTAAGATAGAGATGGAGAGGAATTGCTTATCATTATTCTGGAAGCCTTCTCCCAACAAAGCCAGGACCTCTTCTTTCTTTTGTATGATT